CTCCCCTTCCCTCTGACCCCAACCTATCAAGTCTCATTAGGAGTGGCTGCATTATCTTCCTCTGTGGCCTGGTAAGGCTGCTCCCCCTTCAGGAGGAGGTGATCAAAGAGCCAGCCACTAAGTTATGTCAGAGACAGTTCCTGTTCCCATTACTAGGGAACCCACTTGGAGACTGAGCTGCCATGGGCTACATTTGTGCAGGGGTTCTAGATTATCTCCATGTATGGTCCATGTTCTTAAGGAGCAACCTAAATGTTTAACTATGAACTATGAAGTGATTAATGTTTTGCACACTGGGTCTCAATTATTTATGGGCCTATGTGAAATTATTGGAAATTAGACAGTGTTTTAAAAGACATTTTAGGGTGGCATCTCTTTCTTAAGTACAATAATAAGTACTTAACGAATAAATGACCCAGTTTTATATAATATGAACCCAAATGGCAGTGCTATAATATGATATAAAATTAGATGGAGAGAAGTTATATACATTTTATTTCTTTGTTTGTTCGTTTGATTGGTTTTGGTTTTCTCCAAGATAGGGTTTCTCTATGTAGCCTTGGCTGTCCTGGACCTCACTCTGTAGACCAGACTGGCCTCAAACTCACAGAGATACACTTGCCTCTGACTCCCTGAGTATGGGAATTAAAGGTGTGCACCACCATGGCTGGCTATATATTTTAAAATTGATAGAATTTGCTCTTCCTATGCAGGATCTGAGTTCAATTTCCACCTGTGTTAGGGGCCTCACAACCAACTGTAAATCCAGTTCCAAAAGATCTGATGCCCTCTTATGATCTCTGCAGAAACTTTACTTGCAAATACATGGACACATACATACACACACACGTAAATGAAAATATGATTTTAAATGACCTCCTACTGAAAGGTTTTATTTTAGGTATTTGTAACACCATTAAATGTTTAGATAGAATCTGAGAGCTTCGATGCCCAGTTTACCTGTATATTTTGATACTTCTGAAACTATTTATTGTAAATAGAACTTAGGAACTTTGGGTTGTATTTTCATTATCCTGTATTTTCATAGTTGTTTAGCCATGATGAAATGTAACACGTGAAAGAGGGAAAGTAGGCATTCTATACCAGTAACAGGTAAATCACTAATGGGAGAAATGATTTAAATGTTGCTAACACATTAAAAGGGAAGTAAAAGTCTTTGGAGTGATTACCTACCAGTTGGAAATAGACAGCTAATGCAGCAGATGAGGAATATAATTGTGGAACTCAGAATGGATTTATTTGCAATGCCACTTCCAGGAGATATGTGTGTGAATATCATTATGTCTCAAAAGAAACTGCATAAGTTATATAGTATTATAGATCATATAAGCAAGAGATACTGACTTACTGCAGACTGTACCTTGAAATTCCCACAGAGAAATGGAAGTAGAGCAAAATTACATGAAAGGATTTCCTTTGAGGAAAAAAAGAGGCTGAGTACAATATTTGAAATTACCCAAATATTTAGAAAAACAAAAATAAAAATAGTTTTTAAACTGGCCCCTATCTGTGGACATTATTGTTTTATTCACTAGGGGATTAAACTGACAAGTCTGCTTTTAAAAGTACTTAAGCTGTTTCTTATGTAGAGTAAACTTTACAAACTACTTGATTAAATTTTTGCAAAACAAGATTAAGATAAGCTTATATCCATGCATGGTCCTTAGTTGGAGAAACAGTCTCAGAAAAGACCCCTGTGCCCATATATATTTGGTCCTTGTGCAGCTCCTGTCCTCTCCAGGTCTTACTAACTCCCCCTTCTTTCATATATTTCCCTGCACTCTGCCCAAGGTTTGGTTATGAGTCTCAGCATCTGCTTTGATACTCTGCTGGTTAGAGTCTTTCAGAGGCCCTCTGCAATAGGCTACTGTCCTGTTAACTTGTTTTCTCCTACTTCCAATGTCCATCCCATTTGTCTTTCTAAGTGAGGATTGATCATCTTACCCTGGGTCCTCCTTCTTGTTTATCTTCTTTGGTGTACAGATTTTCGAATGTTTATCCTATCTTATAGATCTAGTACCCAATTATAAGTGAGTATATACCGTGTGTCTTTTTGCTTCTGGGATACCTCACTCAGGATGATCTTTTGTAGATCCCACCATTTGCCTGCAGATTTCATGATTTCCTTGTTTTTAACTGCTAAGTATTATTCCATTCTGTAAAAGTACCACAATTTCTGTATCCATTCCTCCATTGATGGACATCTAGGTTGTTTCCAGATTCTGGCAATCACGAATAAAGCTGCTACAAACATGGTTGAACAATTGTCTTTGTGTACTTGAGCATGCATGAATATAACCTACAAACCCTGCTAGGATGTAGCCCATGGCAGCTCAGTATCCAAGTGGGTTCCCTAGTAAGGGGAACAGGTACTGTCTGACATGAACTCAATGGCTGGCTCTTTGACACCCTCCTCCCCACAAGGGAGGAGCAGCCTTGTTAGGCCACAGAGGAGAACATTGCAGCCAGGCCTGAAGAGACCTGATATGCTAGGGTCGGATGGAAGGGGAGGAGGACCTCCCCTCTCAGTGGACTTAGAGAGGGGAGCAGGGAGAAGATGAGGTAGGGAGGGAGGGAAGGATTAGGAGGGAATACGGGAGGGGGCTATAGCTGGGATACAAAGTTAATGAACTGTAACTAATATAAAAAATAAAAAAATTAATTAAAAAAAGAAAACAGAGTTTTGATGAAAATGAGATAACTTGAAATGAAAACAATATTTTAAGAATATATAATACACCTTGATAGATTATAATTATTATAATTATATTATTATATTATATTATTGAGAAGAGGGAGGTAGGGTAAGATTGGAAGAAGATGAGGAAGGGGCCACAGCTGGAATACAAATTGAATAAATTGTAATAAATGATAATAATAATAATAATAAACTTAAAAAATAAAAAAGAAGGAAAAAATATCACTTCTTAACTGTTGTTATTTTTTCTGTTTATCTATTTCATTCAAAATACAAAGATGTATTTGATAGCTTGCCTTAGTTTCTCCTTTATTTTGAAAGATTGCTTTGAGTTCCCATTGCATATGAAATGCTATGCTATGGGCAATGGAGATGGCTCAGGGATAAGGACCCCACACTTTCAGAGGACCAGAATTCAATTCCTAGTACCCATGTTATTTGGCCACCAATTGCCTGCAACTGTAGCTTCAGTAGCATCTGATGCCTCTGGCTTCTGTGGGCCCCTGAACTCACACACACATACCCTCACACAAATAAACATAACCACAATTAGACAAAATGCCAACACACACACACACACACACACACACACACACACACACACACACACACACACAC